TATTAATCACTTTATGTTTATGATGAAGTAAACTAATATTTCTTGTTAACGCCCATTTATTCGTTCGGGCGTTATGAATGCGATCTACTATTGTTATCTCTCTTACTTATTTCACTACGCACTGTCGTCTACCTCTCATCATACTTTTTCATTGTTCTCGAGGGAAGGGGAGAGTTTGACAATGAGTATTGACACCTGTTGGTTCTTCTGCTGAGATCATTAGTTCCTAGAGTGTAGTGCATGTTCTAACCTGGGTATAGCCGTTCTTCTTGGTCGTTTAAGTGTAGCACGGCAACAGTGTGAACTCACGCTTACTACAGTTTCTCATTCGGGTAATTTCCTCAGAAGGACACGACAGATGGTAAAAGGTCCCAGCTCCGGGGGGCTTCCGACATGTGTGGAAATGTAGTATGTGTTGGTATAAGGGGCAAGATTGAAGAACAAAAGATCGCGCTGACCGTTTTGTTAGGGCATTGTTCCGGCATTTGCTAGTATTTCGCAGATAAAACACCCAGACTACGGACCAGAGCAGGGAAGGGAGAATTCTCGTCGGATAGTGGCATATCGGCTACGAAGGAGAGTCAAAACACTCGCACTAGCTGGGCATCGAACTCTGAAGACTCCCGATCAACGATTTTAGACAGAGGTACGGTGTTTGCTGCAGAGCAATCGCAGCTGGTCAGTCACGTCACTCTCTCATTCTCTCAATACTTGTTTTCGTTGCCATATATTTGTCTGCTTCTAGACCTTTGATTTGTTTTGTTCTTATTCCACAGATATGTACCGCGCATCTCTCATCTACGACGCCTGTCGCATACTTCTCGATAAAGGAGAATGACCGTATAGTTGTAGGGATGGTCAGTCGTCCGGCACACAGTTGAAAGAGGGCAAAGAATGGGGAAGGAAGCATCGCGCTTTCTCGAGACCTTTCTTTAAATCAATGTTTCTGGTGTTTACCCGGGATTGGCGATGAAAACAAATGAAACAAATCAATGAGAACAGCAGATCTTTAAAACATAGCCAAGTTGATCGACTCAACCGGCTATTAAATTGGTATCGAAAATCCTCCACCGTCGAGACTCAAACGGTAGGCCTTCCCGTTCACAAACGCAGCAGTTGTAGATTCGGCAACCACTTAGGCTTTCGCGAAACTAAATTTACCTCCTTTTGGGTCGACCTTTTCATCAGCACCATCCATTAACGGCAATCCTCGCCAACACACGATACCGTCCAACAGATTCATCTCGCGTATCTCCTTCATTCCCCCACTCCGTCGCTTTGCGCCCCCCGCCAGCTCTGCTGTCCCGTAAACGCGCAGCGGCGCGTCCCGTAATTGTTTTTTCGCTAATTACTGGCGCTCTAGAGCTCCCAGGAACGTCCGATTGCTCTCCACGCCTTTGTCCAGGCGCGCTGAAAATCACCTGGCCGCGCCTCGCCGCACGCGGACGGGGAGCGAACGCTGTTGCTGGAGCGCGTAATTGTTTTATTGATGGGTGCTTTGTGATCGCTATGACCAGCGCGAAGAGTAACGGTCTTTAGATTCTCAAATTTGAGATAATGAAATGCATACGGCATATAGACAAAGCCACTTGTTTTCCGAAATGAACAAAGATATAATTTTTTTAACTTAAGCTGAGGCAATAAATGGAAGGTACTTTGTAGATACTTTTTGCACAGAAGTACATTGCAGAAGTTCTAATCAATTAACTTTAAACAACAATTCATTACTAATGGTTGTAGATTGGCGATAATGTAAGTAAATTAACGAATGATTCCAATTATGCATTTGTGTCAAAAGTAATAAATTAACTTGCAAGTTAGATTTATCGCAACATGCTTTGACTTCCCCGGTTGGACCTATGGAAAAAGGACTCAGACTAACTAGTGTTTTGTGAGATGGTATGAAGTATTGGTATATTGTTTTATAGTAGGAACATGAACTTAAATATCTGAATACGGTCTGCAAACTTGGAGTGATAATAGTCTTTGTATTGATAGCTCTTGCTGTTCATTGGTCATCTAGGGTCCGACACACTCACTAATATATCTTTGTGAATGATATATACTCTCTGAAGACATTGGCAACTTCAAGATATTATAGACTTCAGAAGCTACTCTTGAGCGGATATTTTCAGGAATTGGAAGAGAAATTACTTAAGGATGTCATAATGAGCACCTTAACTAATCAACTATATTAATTCATCTCATATGATCATAATGCGTGCTTAAGCCTATAACGTATAAGCGAAACAGATACACATCAAACTTCGGCTAAAGTCTAACTGATCACTGCTAGAATTTACTTTTTTTAATAGGGATTATTTGGTGGGTTTAATGCTTCTATGATTTTGTTATCAAAAGAGGCAGTAATAAATGTCACGATACGCTGCTTGTTGGGATTCTAAGTATCAGTAATGAGTGGAGATTGTTCTAAATTTGGTAACTCTCAAGGATAGAGCTCAAACCTCCGAAACTGGCATACGAATATGTTGCGGATTTCACTGTGTACGAGCCATTGATTAATGCTGTTCGTACGTATTGAGATAGGGACTCGCAATAGAATTAGTTACGGATATATATATATATATATATATCGTATATTAAGCATGCTGTCGGAGGTGAAGAAAGCGTCTCATATTTATATAAGATAGAACACGTCACGTATGCAAGATATTTAACTGCATACTACGTGAATGTAGGAAAGATGTCTCGACAGGGAGATAGAGAAACTTATATGCGCATAGACGGAGATGTTGTATACGGAATCAGTGCTCGTTCCATCATTGAGCTAGAGAAGAGAGATGACTAGTGTAATTATAAGTGTGTAGAATATATATGTGTGTCGCTGAGCTTTGTACTGAGTGAAACACAGATTTAAAAGTGCGCAAACTCCGCATTGTTGATCTATTTTTTTGTATACCTGTATTTTAAGTTGTTATTGTATGAAAACAATCCCTGTAAAGCAGTTATGCTGGTCAGTGGAAATAAATAAACAAAAAACAAGATACACTTCAACTTATGCCACGTACAAAAAGCAGTGTTTACGACATTATTCATAGAAGTTCATGAAATGGTATAAATTGTCCGCAATTCAACTTCAGAGTGCAGATGACTGTAGCTTTGATCTCATTCTTATTCTCAAAAAAATAGTTCTTGATTGTGAAAATTGTGCCTTATCACTTTGAGACCTTGTTACTATTCAATGTATTACATCAAATGCATTACATCCCTTTAAGTAACTATTAGTCGAACGTATAGAGATATTTATTACATTTATGTAAAGTATTATAAATCTTCGTTTAGTTGTAAAAGTTGAACATAGTACATCTGATGATCCAATGATGACAACAAAATATAAATTAAGGAGATGCGGTTTTAGACGTTGGTCAGAGGGGGTTATTAAAGAAAATATACTGTGAGAGGGCAAATGTGTAAAAAACTAGCCTAACACGTTTAAATGAAACAATTCAAAATACAATCATAATGGCTACAATATGTATTGAGAATGGGGTAAAATTCCCACAATTATATCATTAACCTAATCGCTTATGGAAGAAGGACTATAAATACACGAATGGCATGGATGGAGCATATGTAGTAGATGCAACAGTTTGTTCCCCCGCAGAATGCTGAAGAAGATAACTAGAATATACATATTGAAACTAACAATGTGTAAACATTATAATAGTCATCGCAGATAAACAAGAAAAGTGAATCACGAAAATCATAATTTTTGTAGTATGTGATTAAGTGTTTAAATAATATGTTCTTACTAAGAAAATTTTCAAAAAGGTTTTTCGTAAGGCAGACTGAAAATACTTTGCCGTAGAGCGCGAAAAAAACCAAATCCGGTAAATCAGACCGTTCTGCAATATGACAATGTTTTTTTATAGATGTGACTTCCGTCGTATTCGCCGACGGTATGTTGAGCTGTATGTTCGTGCCTATTCTTTCATTAAGTCCAATCGGTGTTCAAAGGTACAAAACATATTATAGTGAAGTTTAAATGTTTTGTACCGTGATATTTTTTGGGTGTTGAATATGAATCTGATTAGCCAAAAATAGTCCCTTGAAATCCCCTGGATCTACAACAAAAATATGAAAACATAACATTTTTTCTACATTCTACATAAAAAGTGCAACTTCTGTGCATTGCTAGCCGTACGTGAAGTTCGTCGATTTTAATATCCATTAAAAAATATTCCTCCCAAGGCAACTATCTTGTTATCGTGAAAAAAGTCTTCTTTGTATGGTTTTAGAATATTATTCTCTAATCATGGCCCTATGAAGTACATTTCTATATTATCCAAGGTATCAGGCTTCCAATACAAGTTTACAAAACCTTTTGTATTATATATTCATGCAGTTGTCGTCTCGAATTATGAAGTTTATAAGTTAAACCGAAATCTTCTTTAGGTAATTTTCTACTACCTCTATAAATACTGTACTGCGCTAATCCCAATAGACAGCGCTTCAAGGGCTTTTGAAACAGTGAAGTGCGCCCGTTTTCCGTAACATCGATGCCTCTACGACCTTGCATCATTTTAATATCTCAAAACTGTGTTTTTGAATTACTCCCTTTTTGCTTTCTACCATTCTCCGACATTTCCATCTTTGATCTATGGTCTCAGAAAAAAATCTCTATCTCGACCGTGAACAAACGGAAACTTAACACACTTAGTATGAAAATAACTATTTCTTCTGTTTTTTGCCTATATCTAAAAACCTAATGAATCTAGGTATAAATTACACTTTATCAAAATATTATACATACAATTTTGCTGTATATATTTTTTTCGTTACGAGCACCGTTTAGGTGTAATTTATTGTTGAAATTTGACAAATTTTTGCCTAACTGCCGTTAGCTGGGCTACCTACTAAAATGTAGGTAGCAGTATAACTATCAGCCTTGCTAACAATTTTTTAAAATCATAAACTAAGATATTTTGGGCCAATGGGCAACGCTTCGTAGCACAATCTGGTGCGCAGTCGCGCCCAGAATGCAGGGTAGAAGAAGCCGAAGAACATTTAAGTTCCCTTTTGCCAAGTGTCCTCGACCTAATAGAGCTATCCAGCCCACTGGCCACTCGCTGTGGCTCCTCCCGCACACCTGGCCAACGCAACAGGTGGGCGCGTGCAAGGTTCGTTGAAGATGCCCCGACGCTGTAATACTATGTCACGCAAACACGCGCGCGTCTGTAGCCAAGCATTTATGCACGTGACCCCACGCGAATTCGCGCACACTTTCTCTCACACACTCATACAAGACACATTCTCACACATACATACATGCCATGAACGCATTTGCATGTCTACATTTGAAACAATTAAATAACATATAAGTAATATATTCATTCTTCATTTTTTGTTACAAAATTCAGACGCAAAATTTTCTGAAATATGATAGACAGGACACTTACGAAGTCCTTAGGAGCGCACAGATTTAAAATTAATTGTCATCTATGGTATTTGCCGAGTTTGTTATACAGTTCTGAAAGTACAGACTGAATCTCGCCCCTCCAACTGTTTCCCTCTTTTCACACACCTCAATAAGTCCCTACCCTACCTTCATTATAGAGTTGCAAGAGGATATCAAACACTTGGGACCTATCCCATTCGGTAGAATTCTACGACAAAGAAATACAGATGTTTATACTACGGTATAACAAATGATTATGGCAGTAGTTTGGTCTTATGGCGGAAATTTGAAAACAATTTAGCCATGCGTGCTGTATCTGCTACAATAAAGTTTTTCTATTGAATTATGCTTTCTTTTTGTTGAATAAACTTGCTTTCTGAATGCGCCTTGTATTTCAAAATAATTATAACATTTCTGTTTTCCCTATATTAAAGATGAATATGTATATTAAAATGAAAGTATACAACACGATCATGGCTGAAAAAGGAAGTTAATAAAACGACGGTAATATGGTAAGTATTTGACGAATCAAATTAGCGTTCTTTCGCAAACTACAAAATGCTTCCATAAACTGAAAAGTTTGTTCATTCCTCACAAAAAACGAACAATTATTCTGCATGTTTCTGACGTGTTCTTTATTAACGTGTTCACACGCGAGGGAGATTGTTTCGGCACAACAGACAAATGATAAGCCTCTTGCGTTATTCACACGCACAAAAGCGAACACGTGTTGGAGGCTTGTATTACAGAGGCCGGTGCAGCGAGAAATCTCCATGGCAACAGCACGAAGGCCCCTGATCCAATCCCCCGCACGTGTTACCTCTTTTAGGACCGCTGTATTGTGCCATTGTAATCAACACAAAGAGGTACTACATTTCCTGAATTCATTTCTGATCCTTTTCATTCTTTATTTGCAATTCTACTTCATGTGGCTACTTGAAGATTCATTAGTTTTTCTGAAACTTCTTGATTAAAATGTTGTAAAAATGAAATGCTTCATACGCTTGAAATTTTGTATTTAGTTATCTTTTTTAAAAGTAGATTGTATTATCTTTTCACAATAAATGTGTCGATAAATATTTCTTTTTATGGGTTTCATAAAATGACCTAAAAATCAATGTGAATGATGTTTAAATCAAGTGGAATTTTTATTGTTATGTTATCTATTTGACCCTTTATTTTATGCTACTTTCCTTTTCTGATGCTCGTTTATACTTTTATTCCTGAGAGAATATCTGAAATTAAACTGAAATATGCCTGTCGAAATGCAAAAAGAGCCGTGTGTTTCTTTCAATTGAGCAAAACATTTTATTTCTTTATACATTTCACTTGAGGATTGTGAATTTTTGCCATAACTTAACTTTAAGAGCATCTTCGCTTATCTTTATTTGTAATAAATGTGTTATTTATTACGAGACTGATCAGTAAGAAATACTTATCATTTTGAGACATGATAACTTAGTATTACGAAATGGACTTCGTAATGGACTTCGTAATCTTCGTAATTTTGAATTCGGAACAGAAACATTGTCACCCATTCTAAATATTAAAATGACTATATTCAAAAGTGTTTTGAATTAAATTAAATGTGAGAGTGTCTCATCATGAATGCATATCTGTTTATTTTGTTATTTTGGTAAAAAGGTCGAACGATCAATAGACAATGATGTGTGTATTTCGCATTTGAAGGTCAGATTTATCCGACTTTTGCGAGCAAGCGATGTTCCCTGACCTGGGCTCTGCTTTATTTTTTCACGTCCAGGATTAAGGGAAACATGTGGCGAGCATGTTGTACTCTCTTCACCGTATCTAGTCCTTTGCTTGACTGACCTTTCCTTTCGTCACACAGCTATAGAATCTGAAAAGATTGAACTTTTGAAAGCTACTGGTCTATTTTGGCTCCGACCTAGATTCGAACCATGGATCGTGCAACAAAAAGTAAGTACGCTGTACTTGAGACAGCCGAAAGGCATTCACAAACAATACTGTAACGAATATTGCATCACCTGCTGGATTTTGCTGCGCAGATAACGTCATCTGCCGGCGCTCCCCCTTCCACACGAACTAGATGGTTTCGGGTTATTCGAGAGTCCCGTAGAAATGTAGCGCACATTCCCTATGGCTCGAGGCGGGCGCCGGTCAGGTATAAATTCGCCGCTGCCGGCGGTCCAGAGTCAGGCAGGCAGGCAGTAAGCAGCCGCGAGTCAGTCAGTGTATGTAGCCAAGTAAGAAGTAGAAGTAGTAAACAGCCAGTCCGTCAGAGTGAGTACGCAGAAGTCTGTCTGCAACGGAATCTGAGCTGTGAAGTGTGCATCGCGGTAAACAACAGTGCAGTGGGCCCTGGTCTGCGCAGTGAATTGTGATCTGCGCTGTGAATTGTGGTCTCCGCAGGGAATTGTGGTCAGCGCAGTGGACCGTGGACAGTTCATCGGAGTGTGCGATACTGTAGAAGAAGTGATCAGTGTAAATAAATAATCAGATTGCAGTGAACAGCGTAAATAAATAATCAAGAGAACGGAGTCGTGTTACGAAAATAATCAAGTTAAAAACACAAGGCGTGTGTAATATATCTGCAAATAGATTAGTGTAGTATTGTTTGCGAATAAATGTTGTGAAATATTACCTGTGATTTTTAATTCACCACAGAGGAACGTTACAATACGATTACAAACAGTTCGTGTGTGTTTAATAACATGAATCGTTAGTTGTTGTAGCTGCTGCGTCATCTGTCCTGATTTTGAAAATAGGATTTTCTTTATTTATTGAAGTTTGATAAATTCTTATCATCGCACACCATACTTGCATGTTTCATTTTTCATGGTTAATTCTTAAATATACTGGTTGATTAACCAACGATATCAGGGTACTCTTTTTTATTTAATAAATGATGAATAAACATTGTTATTAATTTTGATGAATGAGTGTGACTATTTCACTCATGAAATTGAAGCCAATAAGGTTGAACAGTTCGTCTCATAGGCACCAATCAAGACAATATATTCCCAATAAAGTATTGTATTTTTCTTATTTCTTTTTCAAAACACCATTTCCTGCTGGCCAATCAAAAATTTAAAATTCATTAGATGAAGCGTTGTCGTGTGCACGTACCCTTCGCGTTTAAAAAAATTAAGTTATGGTGCGTTCTGAAAGTTTTTGGAGATCAATTCACTCGTGTTCAAATATGTATCTTCTTTGCAGAAACGGTCACAGCCATACATTCGTCTTCTCTTGCTTGACAATACAACATTTGGTGGTTCCTTTTTTTTCCAGCTGTACGCTCCCCTAGCCAATGTAACGATCTTAGACCCATCATACCATTAGCGCCACCTGCAACCGAATACCCTACACCATACCCTTGCGCTGTGCGCGGCAGCAGCAGCATTTGAACTTGCGCGGCTGCTCTCTGTTGCAGCGCACACGGACGAGGTGGCGTGGGGCGTGGCGGGCGGGGCGGCCCTGCTGCTGCTCTTGGTGGGGCTCGTGCTGTACCGCAACTGGCGCTACGAGCAGCAGCTCGACTCGCTGCTCTGGAAGCTCGACTACCGCGACATCCAGCAGCTCGAGGTCAACCGCACATGCAGGGTGAGTGCTCCCCACGGAGCTTGTGCGGACAGATGTGGCACTTGGGGAGAAATACTGGAGTGGTGTTATACGCTGCAAGCGCAGAGAATTATATAGGTGTTGTGGTAGGATATCTTTGGCATTTTTAAAATAATTAAAGATGTTGTCATTTCCAACAATGTTTTTTAATTCAAAAGCAGCTTTCGATGGCTTAGCCATCATCATCAGTTGTCTGCTAGATGGAAGCCACAAAACGACTACCTACGCAGAGAATTATGTTTGTGAGTCTACTTAGAGATGGTTTTATAACGATTATAATTGTAATTATAATAATAATTATTGTTACAGTAAACCTTAATAGACCTTTATTCACAAGGGAAAATTAATTATCAAGTGTGATAACGGAAGAGCACCCTGCTGATATGTGTTCGGGTGCCCAAAATTAATTGTTCTCAAGGCTGCTTTAATTATTTTGAGTCGCGTAGCGTTTCTCTTGAGGCGAATGCTCAAAATGATTGTTCGTATGTTGACGGAAGATAATGTCATTTTTTAGGACAGTGGTATCCTCGCGATACTTCAAGCCCATCAAATTACTCATTTTAAAAAACATTATAATTAAATTAATTAAAACCACGAAGTTTCCCGATACAATATGACCTCATCATCAGGTAACTACAGAAGAAACTGTAAGAAAAAACATATATATAAATGAAGGCACAAACTGAAAACAAGGTTTAGTAAAATAAAAGGAAAGGCTCAAATAAGATCAGTGTCTAAAGGTCGACCTCCTCAGCCGAAATCAGAAAGCCAAAGGACTGACTCATGAAGTAGAGATAATGACTTAGGAGTAATAATTCAATTAGTGCGTTTGATATAGTTATCACATTGTATTATTTTATTAGTAGCATATTGATTAAAATGAGTTATACCTTTAACAATAATTTTGCAGATTTAAAATAGCGCAGCTCAACCGCTACTCATGTTAACAATCTTAAGCAGTCAAAGATTCACTTGTTTGGCGACACTTGAAAATGCATACAGTATTTACAAGCATTAAAAGGATGATTGAAATGTTTGGTATAGCAACAACTCTACAATAATGCACGTATATAAAGCATTATCCTAACATCCAGTAAGCTTTAAGATTGTCGCTGAAGAAGTGGTTAAAAGCAAGCTCGCGAGGAATCATCACAGCATAAAGTAGAATGCAAATGATAATAAATCGATAGTTTAAACGCTTTACACAGTAGTAACACGACAACGTGGCATATAAATTAGCAAAAGACTTGCAAGCTGATGTTGTATTTAACCATTTTCGTGTGATTTAAATCATAACATGCAGGTACACATTTCTGTCTTACACCTTGACCGTTTTAACGGCCAATAGTTTTCAAGCTGAAAAAAAAAGTTTTCACAGCTCGTCAACAAGTGATATGCGCGAAGAAATTTGGAGAGGTAAATAATCCTCTTCGCGTATACGAGCTTGGAGGGAAATATAATGTTCGCTTTATCCATCAACTCTCGTGTCTACACAGTCGTAAGATTGTTATGTTACACTACGCCCGGCTTCTTCAATAAACTGGATCCAGACCCGGAAAATGCCTGGAGATTTGCCAAGGCGACTTCCTTCAATCAGTGCTCTCTTCCCATTCTGTTCAGCAGTCGCGCCTTTCTATCACTTTAGTTCCCCAGATTTCAGCTTGACATATCGCACGTGGTGGCGGCGTAGGCAATTAGATTGTCCGCGGCTATCGTGGACGATGGCCCTTGAGCCACTGTTTTCAGTAGTTTTATGAACGTCAGTCCAGCTGTTTCGTTCAGAAAGCCCCTGTTAGGTTATTTGAATCATTATCACCCTCTTATGTCACACCACCATCACTATCATCTATCACCATTGAAGCATCGCACGTGTTTCCTATGGCAACCGATTGTCCAGCGGCTCACGTAGACGATGACCTTTGAGCCAGTGTTTTAGGTAGTCTTGAAGTCAATCAAGCTGCTGTGATTGGAAACCCCCTGTTATGTTGTTCCAATACACCACCACGCTCAACTTCTATCACCATCATCATCATCATGATCTCTCAGCCTTCGCCTCACGGTCCGGAACAATTGAGCAGCACGGCTCGCGCGCAGCTCCCCACCTCGGGGCCCGGCCGCGACATCTGCATGATGACTACGAGGTAGCCCAAGATGGTGCCGAGCACACTGCTCTCTCACCTAGCATGCTCAGTGTTCGAGCGTTTGTTGAAATTGGTTTTTGTTTATGCTCCCCGAGGTTTTTTTGAGTAATGTTGTGTGGTCGTCTTACAGCTGTTGGTCTCAGCCGCTGACTGCCCTCCAGCAGCTTGCGTTTTTTTCCTGCTCCTCCAAGCGACGGCCGCCCCCTCCGCGCAGCAGCAGCCGCCGCCGCCGGCCTCCGCCGCCCCCCGCCCGTCTCGTCCGTTTCCGCCCCTGGCCGCCCGCCGCTTTCTTTTGCCCGCCGCTCCTCTCACGCACCGACGCTCCAGCGTCCGCATTCATTTGGCGGTGATTTCCGCCGCTGTGTCTTTTGGCTCGATCTATGTGTATTCACCGTTCTTTCTGCGCAAGGACCATCCTCTGCTGAAATTTGTTTATGCATTAACGCGTAGAAAGACACCATCATGTTCACAATGAGGTGCACGTACAGAAGTAATAAGACGGGGCTGAAAATATCGGCTACATCCACGCACGTTTGTTGTAGATTGAAGTGCATTTGGCGTAGGCTGCGTATTTCTTGTTCTACTTTCCTTTCCAGGAAGAATTCGTACCGCTGAGAATGAACGGTTGAGATACATGTAAACATGTTTTTCACTGTTACAATATAACTCGTGTGTGCTTTATCAGTCTTATCGTTCTTTTGTAGTAGTGTTGCAATATGTAAAATTCGTTTATTTGTTTCACAAAAGTATTGCTTCAAAATGAGAACGATAACTAAGAATAAATGCCCCAAAACACAAGTGTAATAGAATGATAAGGCCCAATAACATACTGCAAAAAATGGGATACTCTGCACATACATCTTAAATAAAAACATTTCTACTAGCTCAAAACTAATAATGAGTGTTTGCACTACTATAACACACGAGGGTCTTGCTGCTCTGGGCAGAGGTCGACTCTCGCCCACCTTATTCCTTTCCAAATCATCCATGTGGCGCAAAATTCGTTGCCACTTCATTGCAGTGGAGCGAAGTGCAGAGGTAAGAACAGGAAACGCAGTTACGAAGACGCGCAGAAATATATGAAAAAGATACACAACCCTCGTTAAATTACTATACTCTAATTCTGCACTGGTTGAGACATGGTAAAAACTAAACAAGAAAGTCAATACGTGAATGCAAAGGATGAACAAGCTGAAAGATACTGCCACTCGGCTGCGGGAGACTCGCAGAGGGGGTTCCATGACGTATGGGGCTACTCCCAAGAATCGCGCCAAAGCAAACAATGGCACAACAGCACGGAGGGTTCGAGGAAATTGCTTAAATTTCGACATGTTAGCGCGCTCTTCTTCTTCTTCGTCTATTTTTCGAAATTGTGACATACTTCTCACTACTGAACAACTAATGTAACCAATAGATAAGTGATTGAGAACTTCCATCCAATCACGCAGGATAAAAAGTTGATGCTTTTTCTAAGTAATTTATGGCAACTTCATCACAAATATTGTATTTTCATTTCATTTCCGTTACGTGTTTTACTTCCAATCTTTTGTCAAAACTGTGTTTTCTTTACGGTTTCCAGTACATATTGTTAACATATTCTTGCAGCCGCTGCATCAGAAGAGATTATTCTTGATGGCTAGAAGTAGAAATAAATAATATTTCAGTGTTTGAATGTGAATTTTACGATAAATTCGATTTATAAAGACAAAAGAAAGGCTTTAATAATTATTGTGAATCTAATTTGTAATTGCGTGATAGTGTCATTAGATTGTAAATATGTATACAGGTAAAGATGCGTTTTCGTTCACACACAAAAAACAGTTTTCGTTCTTCGCTAACAACACTATCACACGTCATAAAGGTCTATAGTTATTCGTCATGAAAAAATATGTTCGTATTCCTAACACTTTTTTCTATTCTACTTTGACTAAAGGATGATTCACAATCACGTCTACACCAACGGTACGTTATGGAGGCATGTTACACCGCTTCTAGAAAGGATTCTATACATCGCCGTTTAGGTTACTCTTTTGTACTCGAATATACTGAAAAAGTGACATTTTGATCAAATAAAAAGAATATTGATGAGTCATGTATTAGGTAATAATGAAAGTGCCACATGTATTTATATGATGGAAGACGCTTCCTCAATTACGTCACCAAGTACTGAAATAATTGAACATCATAACTTTTCTATTGATTCCTTTTACATTTTTCATATTAATACAATTCACCCACGATGTGAAATATCCCTTTTTTAATGTTCATTAAAGTATTATTCGGAACAGTTTTCTTCGCTTTCTTTTGACATTTAATTTTCTAATGCATTCTCCATGACAAATGGATGCCGGGCAGCAACATGTCAATAACTATTTCACGATGTAAATGACAACCTGTAAAAGAAAGTTCTAAAGTAAATGTTGAAGAATTAAGAAAAACAGTTGGACAAAGACGGGCAAGAAAGTACCGGGAAAGGAGATGCGAAGTAATAAAATTGGATGATTGGATGAGACGTGGAATGAGAGGCAATGGATTAGCAGTCAGTGAGCACTTGATAGCAGTAAGGGATGCGTTCCATCAAGGATGGGATGGAGCAGAGGGTCGAAGAGAGGACAGGTGGTGAGCTGTCAGTGTTCGACCGCTGAATAGCAAGTTGGAGAGCACTCCGTCGGCGAGTAGGTGAGCAGTACCCTGGCGAGCAGTGGATGGCCGTTAAGAGAGCCGCGGCCGATGATTGGGAAAAAATGAGCGGTCGGTCGATGAACATTCAGTCGGTGAGTAGTCGGTCAGCTGAGTCGGTTAGCGATGAGCCGGTGAGACGTGAATCGATGGGCAGTGAATTGTTGAGCGGTAAATTGGTGAGCGGTCAGTCTGTGAACTATCAGTTGGGAACGATGAATCGGTGAATGGTCGGTCGGTGAACGGTCGGTCGGTGAACGGTCGGTCGGTGAACGGTCGGTCGGTGAACGGTCGGTCGGTGCACGATTGGTTGGAGTATAAATTGGTGAGTAGAGAGTGGCCGTCCACAGAGAGTTCGGTTGATGTGTGAGTGAGAAGCTAGTGGTCGATCGGTGAGCGATTGTTTGATGCACGCAGTGAACGATCAGTTAGTATTCGATCGATAGGTGGGAGGGAATGGGTCGATCGGTTAGTGGTTGATCGTTCATTAGCGGACGGGCGGGGGGTGACAGAATGGCAGAAATGAACCGGCCGGGAGTAGGGATAAGTGTGTGAATAGACGGTAGATCAGTGAGCCGGCTGAGCGCAAGGATAAAGTCCCTAGACGCAGCACGCGGTGCCCGACATAGCTCTAAGGTAGACAGAGCCCGGGAGTCTCCTCTCCGCCTCAGCCAACCCGACAAGGCGCGGCGGGCCGGCGCGCCCGCCGGCGCACGTGACGTGGGTCGGAGTCGAGCCCCGGCGCGGGCGGACGCTGACAAATACCCTGGGCACCGCGCACGCCCGGAGGGCGCGCGATTGGGGCCAGTTCAGACAGAGAGAGAGAGCGCCGCCTTAAGGCGACCTACACTTCGAGCGTCAAAGCGAAGCGGACGTGCGGTGAAGGCGCGCTTCTTTGAATGCAATGACGGAGGTCCCGTTGTGCCTACAATATTGTCATCTTAGAATTCTGATTTTTTTATGCCATTAAATAAAATACGTTCTTCATTATTATTATTATTATTATTATTATTATTAATTATTACAATATTAATTATTCCCAATTATAATTTTCTTTTTTAAAACAACTACTGAAACAAATTCGTACATTCAAATATGCGGGGAAGCTTTGTAAGCGCTTTACATTATGTTAATCCGGTACACAATGACTATCTAATTACTGCATTTGGCAAGCAGTTTTTTGGTTATTTATCTTCCCTATAAAGACATGTACCCTATTGAGTTTTCTATTCAAAGAAGCCTAATGCAACTAAGAGAATGAGAATATATTAAATAAGTTTAAGGTATGAAAGAGGTAAAAATGAACCTATCCGCAAATTTATTTTATTACCTAGTGTTTGATATTTTGTGGGATATTCAAAACAAATATTAATCGTTTCAATGTAAATTTTGGAAGCGTATCTACATAGGTCCAAAAAACACAACTTCGAAAGGATAAATCTGACAGAGTCGAGAGACATCAAATATATCGATACCACATCATGGCACACGTGTTTTAGATTTGTATATGACCTACGTATTGCATTCTCCTTTATTTCCTGTTACGGAATATTAACAACGCGGGAAAATAGTGCGTTTCGGGCACATCCGTCCGAACGGGAAATTAATTTTGCGCCCATGAAACGGGAGTTGGAACAGACACGGCTCCGTTTTGTTGACCGCTCCACGGTACCGATGCACAGGTAAATATTTGATGAACGCTTTCAATTAATATGTGAAAAACTGAGAGCAAACAGGACTCCCTTTGAGAACAAAGCACTTGTACATGAATTGTAAAGTTGGCTTTATAATACGAGTAGGCAGTTTAATTGTACAAGAACATATTGGAATAAGCGAAACCTTGTTCATGCCATGTCGTAAAATGTGTTCTTATTCTTATTTACCTCGACTTTGGCGAAAAAAGTATTAACTATTTCTTCCTTCATATGGAAATTCCACGACTAAATTTGATACCTTTTTCGGTCTTGCATACTTGAACTAAACAGTACGTATTAAGAGGGCATTTCTGAAACCGTCTCTTTATTTATATCTTAGATGTTACACAAGTTGAATTGAATAGTAAGATTTAATATAACGCTAATGAAAGGAAGTAAGACGAAAAGATACACACACAGCAGAATGGGGAAAAATATCTATAATCATTTCAACCGACGACTGTTCAAGTCTGGAGACATCTATGATAAGGTTTTCCACCACTAACCGGGCCGACTTAAATAGATGTATTTTAATTGATCATAGAAATGATACTGACGCTTTATACCTCCACTATTATGCAATTTTCAATGGTTGTGCTCTGATCACTAAATTTGCATTGTTATGGTACATAAATCATCATAAAACACTATTACTAAATACGTAACTTTCAAGTACAGAACAAGTCACCATTCTACTTCAGCCTTCTATTGTTTTCATTGTTCTATATTTCGGAGCTGTCATTGAAACAATTAGGCATTATGATACAGGTTTTTATAATCATCTAAGCCACATTTTACTGAAAAACTGGAGACAGAAAATACTGCTTTATATTTAGAAATCTAAGGGATTTTGTGTGCAAAGAATTTTGAGGTTTCTGCTTGAACCAAAAATCATGATTTTCTTTACATGATCGGTAGTTGACTCAAAAATATTTTCGCATGGTATTATTAATGGTAATATTTATCGTATAAACACTAAATTTTAATGAAATATAATAGAGTATTATTGAAGATAGATTGTTTTAAATGCAAAGTAGTTAAAGTTCTATTACTTTTACTACATTACTCTGTATATTTGTAACATGTGGTTAGGAGGAAGAGCGGGCCTGATGGCCCGAGCCACGCCATATTAATAAAGGCATATTAATAATAACAATAATAATAATAATAATAATAATAATAATAAAGTTAAAGTTTTAAATTGATTTCTGAACCATTTACATAGTTGACACGATAGCTAAAAATCCTCGTTTACAAAACTATTCCCCAAATTGTTAACTTAAAAAGGGAGAAAATAAGGATTTGATCATATTTACGGAAACAAAATATTATATAACGAAAGGTTATGGGACTCCCTTTGCTAATTTTCAGCCCCCACCCTTCGCGCACACCTAGGTATACTATTGCAACCTTTTCTCAGAGGCGTTTCCGGCATGCTGATGTAAATGACTCTGCGCAGGCGGTGCGCACGAGCCAGGTGTCGCTGAGCTCGAACCCGGGCGAGCTGGAGTTCCGGTACGGCCAGCTGTACGCGGCCGTGGGCATCTACCGCGGGCGCGCGCTCGCCGTCAAGAAGGTGCGCAAGCGCAGCATCGACATCACGCGCGCCATGAAGAAGGAGCTGAAGCTCGTGAGTACCTCAGGACGCCGCACGCCGCACCGCCGGCGGGCTGGCATTTGCGCGCACACCCCCACCACCACAACGTCCTCAACAGGCAGACACTAATAAGTACTCGTTTGTTTTTGTACGTCTAGCTTGAATAGTTTTGGCTCTGCGTTGATGTATGACTGTCAGACAGACGGTCATTCAGACGATCAGTCATTTGTAAGATGATTAATGAATATTAAGAACTCGAATTACACGAATTACATCATCGTCACCGACAGGAAACAAAGCCATTTAAATTATTTCATGGAAATAATTTAAATAGCTTTAGACACTAATAAGTAATCGTTTATTTTTGTACACAACGTACACAGTGCTGTGTGTGAAACCCCAGGAAAACGTTTCAATTTTAAGAAATTTGGGTCAGCTATTCGATTTGTAAAATAACTCTCACTCTAAATTTTAATTCTATTTTAAATAGATTTTACTGCTATCAAATAAATTTTATCACTGATATCATAGAACTTATATTATTTTTTGGTATAACTGTATTTTACAAAACAATTTTACGTTATTTTATGTGCCTAATTACGTGAAGGATAATGTTTTTTGAGGAAAAACAAGACATTTGCCACAAACGTGTGTGTTTGCAAGAATATTTTTTTACTTATGTCAATCTGTACAGAATTGTTCTCTGTGTTTATCACGCAAATTTTCTAGATACAAGCATATTATTATATATATTATTTGGTGTTTTGTTATTTTGCTCTGTTGCACACCTATATCATTTCTGATGCCACGTTTATTCACCGTAATAGGTCATCAAACGAATTGACACAAAGAAACTTAAGCAAATTCCCTAGAGTAAATAACGTAATTTGAAGCCTAAAACCAGATAATGGCAAACATTTCGAGAAAACAACCAAAGAATTCCTTCTTGGGTCTTTCAGTTGCCAAGAGAACTTTACTTGAGATAAAAAATATCTATAGTATTATTGTTGCACGGTAGTTCATATAAACAGGTAGATTATAAAGAGTGTTTGCGTAAATTCACTATGCATAGTACACAATAACACAGTGTTGATAAGATTGCCTATTGGTGTCAGTAGACGTCACGCGCCACTGAGGCGAGCCATGAGCTTATCAGCAGAACAAGTGAAAGGAATCTATCAGTACTCTTCGTTTTCAGTGGGGATGGCGCTGTGGTAATGCGAGTTAGTCAAATGATATTAATTCTACAGAAAATAGATTGTTTATAAAACAAAGGTAAAAATGTTAATAAACACAATAAGCAAAGTACTTAATTTTCATGTTTTAACCTCCATCTATTCATATTTAACGAAGATTCAGAGCCTTTAACACTGTTGATCACTTGCGCGGACTATATATTTCATTCGGCCACCCATTTTCACTGATGAAAATGATCTTATGATTATATAGGTTGCGATATACTAATAGACTTTTTTACAAGTCTCTTGCTTTGAATCTGGGAGTTTCTAATGTAAATACAGTTTATTTTATGCAATAAAACTGCTGATGCGAATTTACCTATCTTAATGTAATTTTTACTTGTTTTTATTTACTTCTAGACATTTGTAATAACTTATACAATGGATAGTATCTTTAGATCTACATATGCGTTAATAATATGTTTAAATAAATTTACCGACTGAAATTTTCCAGGGCAACATCTTTTATCACCTTCCTTATCCGTAATCCCGTCTCTTACCTTACCAACATACACACACACACACACACACACACACATGCACTGCTTTTCCGTGCCGGAAGAACAGTCGGGAGCTTAGAACTTATTCCGTTTGGGACGGTACTCCGTTGGCGGAGATACGTGGAGGTGGAAACCATCACAAGCGAACGTGTAATAGGACGCCGGATCACACTGTCTAGAGGGTCAGGAACATTGCCACCTCTAGGGATACATTAAGCACTATATTAATGTAACAAATGACGGAAGTAGTTGACACCCCCACAACAAGGCACAAAATATTCAATTAATCAATTTAAATAAATACTTCATTCCAAACAGCAAATGTTTTCCAAAATATTCTCCATTTATCCCCGTTGGCAATAATGCTTGATTGCTGAAAAAAATTATCTACTGCCAACCAAAAACGAACCAACTATATGTCACCATTGGTATATCCAGGAGGTTTTGCATGATAACAAAAATATATCTTGCAGGAATGCACGAGAATGTTTTACCTGTCTCTGATTGTGGTTAATTATAGTTTTAACTTACTACCGCTTGTAACCGAACATGAACTCACTTTTATGATACTGACGTGTTTTATGCTGTGAACAAACCTGCTTTATCCAAGTCTCTCTATAACGAGGCATAGGCTCACTCTATCTTTATCTAGTTATGAGGGAGTAATAGTCGTAGTGGTAATCAAGAGTGGACAAACAGGATGCTACAGGCCATGCAGCACTAATTCATTCTTTGCTCCTCACGCATAATGAGTTTAATAACCGCATACCTTTATCATCAAATATTCGGAGGTAATCCTTGAGAAACATTTAAACATTATACCTATTATCTTAACCGGTCGTCTTATTGATGTGTTCGTAGTAGATTTATGGCTCATTATTATGTCCAATATAATAAAGTTTCTTAAAGATATAAAATGGGTTATTATATGTGACGTAATAATGGGCACAGCCGAGGTAAACATAATATCAATGGTCATTGAGTCATACTGTTAGAAAATAATGACAAAATGGTAAAAATGTGATAAGATAAAACGTTAGGTAAAAATTCGATAAGATTAAACGTTGTTACTATGTTTACTATGTTATTACTCCTCTTTGAAGAATTTCTGTAATGAAGTAATGACCAAAATATATGTACAAAGCCTTAGAATGTGTAAGTAATTATTTTCTTAATTTTGTTTTTCTGTTAGTTTTTCATGGTTGCAACATATCATTCAGGAACATATTTTTATTACATGCGCATTAAAATTTGTATATCATAGTATGTGCTTAAAATTTTGTGAGTTATTATTTATTACTTCAAACAGAACACACTTGTAATATTCTGTGTTGTTTCCATTCCTAGTTGTTCACTAGTTCAAGGCATGCAAATGAAAGATTCTGGTTATGGAGTAAGATTGTTTTAGAAAAAAATGTATTTTCGCACACGTGTTCATAGTACTGTCAGCAAACTCATTTACGAACCACTTGTCACGTTGAGTTAGGATTCACCCTACTTGCTAACGCAGAATTAATTTAATTCGCTCTTCTCGATTTAAACTCTCTCGTGAGTCCATACGCTTCTATTTTTAAATCCATGTTCTTTCAACCGTTAAAGAAATGCATTTCTTGAACCTACAGGTATTATTGCTAATTAACAATTTGCTTCCAGATGCGGGACCTTCGACATGATAACATCAACGCCTTTGTGGGAGCTTGTACCGAACCTCCAAATATCTGCATTGTAACAGAGTACTGTTCACGAGGATCTCTCAAGGTATATGAACACATTGGCAATTAAATGTGTCTATTTTCAACCTGCCCTGTATGACACTAGTTGTCTCTTGTGTCTGGAAAGAAACCATATTCACATTGATCATTAAAACTTGAAATCAAAGTAAAGAAATCGCTGAATATTAATTTGTAACATTCATCTAAAAATTTCTTACAATCTGTACGAGGGTTACTGTAATCAAAGAACATTTAATTTTACTAATAATAACAAAAACTCTTATTTTGGCAGGACATTTTGGAAAATGAAGATGTGAAGTTAGACAATATGTTTATTGCCTCGTTGGTTGGAGACATTATACGAGTAAGTAAATTTAAAATTCAGTTTTTATGTATGGATTGGTTGGAAAGTAGTAAAACTATTATAATTCGTACCAGACTTCATAGCAAGAAGATAGTATATTACATTCCTTCAAAGTTGATTATTTAATCTTCAATTTCTGTCACCTTCGACCACCAGTGTGGTAAGCGCGTCAAACTCCGTCAATATCTTTCAGGAAGCGCCTTATGCTCTGAGTGAGAGAATCCCTTAAGTTGTAGTGCTGCCCTCAAAGTTGTTCCTTCATTTTGGTGAAAACATAGTAATTGCACGGGCTCCGAGCGCATGCGAGTGCGTGTTCCATAATCTTCTACCACCAATGCCGCAGTAGCTCCTTCGCTGTGTTAGCCATGAGACGCCGTGCCTTGTCACGAAAGGATAATGGGAGCCAGACCATTCAGTCGTTTTCTTGCGATTGCGATACGAAGATGGTGCAGCACGAAGTTGCAGTAGTAGTTTGCATCGACCGTTTTCCTAATAGATACAGCATTTCCCAGGATTAGCGCAAGTACATTGTGACGTACACAGAAAATCACTTTACCGCTACCTTACACAGGATGCACGCTCTTTGGGCGTGAGGATCTAGGATGATTCCATTCATTGAATTGCGGCTTCAACCGTGTTTCACATGAAAGATTTCACATTTCGTCCGTAGTGTCGAACTTCCCGTCGCCTCCCTCTCGTAGCGATTCATTACTTTGTGTGCAAAGAACATAACAATAAAACTGCTGCATCTCAACTAAATGATGTATCTAACAAGCTACAATTCTGCGCCACCCAACAATTTCGTAAAGAATGTACAGTACTGTGTTGTGGCATATTGTCCTTCTTTTCTTATCATATAGTCAGAGTACGTTCACCGTCCTCCTCTGGTTTACACCAACCCTGCTTTGGACTAATACAGCTCGCCACAGACTCGCCACAGTGATACGTCTCGCCTTGCCTTATCAGCTCCTCCTATGGGCGCCTCCGTCGTGATAGCAGTTTTTTACCCTATTTTATATCCTGCCCTTACAATTATACCTTGTATGCACACCAGGTGGGAATATATTAATAGCTACAGCTTATTATTATTTTGGGCATTGATTATTATAAATAAAATGAATGCCCTAAATAAACGATGTCCTTTCTTCCACGTGATGAAACATTCCAGTATTTTAATTTTAAAGTGTGAGTTTGAATTGTGGAGTGTGAAAAATGCATTGAGTCTCCTTTAAATATTATGTGATGTGTCTGTTTTGTAATACTGTATTTATATGATTTTGTCCTTATGGTTTCAACTATACAAATAACAATTTTCAATATTTTCAGGTTTCTTGACTTTAATGCATGGGATTGGATTTTGTGTGCATTATACATTTATTATACATCTTCATCTATCGGTTCATAAAACTGTAACAATTTCAAATAATTTCAAGAACAAAAAATGAATTGCTTCTTTCAGGAATGTATAAAATACTTTGGAAAATTGTTTAATGTTTACTACTTTTATTACATATAGTGAATTGTAATTGTACTCCACATGTTAAATGAAATTCCCTAGAAATGTATAATGGAAAATAATGCAGCTCATTTCTGAAAGCAATTAAATTTTTATTCTGAAATTGTTTTGATGGTTTACATATGCATATCAATTAATAAATTTGCACGGCAATGTGTCAATTTCAATTTTTGTATAAATTATCAGCAGCAATAATCCTACCTATAATAATAAATAATATTCTCATTGTTATTACATTCACATTACATATATTAAATGTGACATGGAAAAGGGTTACGCAGAAAGAGTTAATGAAATGTTCATTGTGATGAAAATTATAGCAATTTTTACTCTATGAATGATTTGAAAGATATTTCTGTCACCAAAAATCGCCTAAATTTTTACGCATCTTTGGAGTATTAAGAAAACGGGCATTATCCCTATGCATAAGCCAATTTTTTAAGAATTCTACTTAGTTCATTCAAAAATTTATCCCAGGCTAATCTTATCATCTTCAAAAACACGTTATAATTGGTATTATTAATAAACATTTTTAACATTAAGGTAACAATTTCAGAATTATTTCAAAAATATACAAGAGAGGAAGGAATCCTAACTGAATGACCTCTTTCCCAGCAAAACTTTACCAATCCGTACTTATGATACAACCTTGACGTATTTTCGTGCCTTTGTTTTCGATGCTACAGGGAATGCTGTACCTGCACGAGTCCGCCCTGAAAGTGCACGGAAATTTGAAGACGTCTAACTGCCTCGTGGACTCCCGATGGGTACTCAAACTGGCAGACTTCGGCCTTAACGAGTTCCTGCGAGGAGCGCAGCCAGCGGACCCCGCCAGAGGTCAGTGGCCACTACGCCTTTTCCTTTCTCTTTCTGGTATCCCTTCTACTCTTTGACAAGGAGTTCGTGTCCTTTCTTTTTGGCTCCCTTTTGGACTCTATTAGACCTGCGTAACTTGGTTGAGTATCGGTGCAATTTTTACTAACGTATTCTTAGTTACAAACCTCCTTCTACATCTGCCAATATTATCTATTACTTTCTCTTCCTTTCATTATTTTTCCTCTTTTTTATTATATTTTCCCCTATGTTTCCTCTTTAGCTTCACATAAAAGAAATGTTTATAAAATTAATACTCTTCGAAAAATAAAATGCAAATCGTCAGTGTAGATGGAAAAATCGCCAAACCCATGCACACCTAATAGCACAATATGTAATGAATATAATGTTTTTTCAGATGTGTTTGATTTATAATTTTTAACACACAAATTAACTAAACATTATAAACAACAAATAGAACAGATCTGAAAACTGGAAACAACTTGGAATACTTAGTTCACCTCTTGTCGAATATACATACAAAGATTATGTTAACATTACACACTTATAAGAGTTTTTAACATAACATTCAATATTATAATATTTATACATAATATTAATTTTCAAATATGTGATTTATAAA